ATATAAAATTATTAAAATGATTTAAGAAATGTGTTAAAATAATACAATTTAAATAACGTATTTATTCAATATGTTAAAATTTACACAAAAAAAATATTGGTTTTACTCTATAATAGGGGATGACTTGTTATTATTCTTTGTGTAGTTTCGACAGTCTTGAATTTTGACGCGTCTCGACATGTTATTTTATCATAAAAATTATGTTAATTGTAACATACAATTAACTTCAAATTAAGATCAAGAATAGAGATTTCTTTTTTGTTGAAATATTAACATAGTGTCGGTGTTACTATTTAACACATCCATATTATGTTAAATTAACACAAAATTTTGAGTGGACCGTTTGGAACATGCGATTTATGTTAAATTCAACACATTTTTTCCAACAGTGTAGAAATATCCTTTAACAGCAGTCAAACGTTTTGTTTTATATAATAGAAAATTTAATTGTTTCCGCAAAATATGTTTCTCTACTTTGTGAATAAAATTTCATATAGCGAAGCTTTTATTTTCGTAAATATGAATTTATAAATGATTGTGTACACCATGTGATAATTAAAATTGTCGCTATGTAAAGGGAAAAAAAAATGGAAAAAATTCATTTTGTTAACATCTTTTCATTGCTGTAACAAAGAATTAATATTAATAGGAACAAAATGTAAATAACAAAAAAAAAATAATAGTAAACAAGTATAAAATACTTGTTTTACTATAAAAAATAATAGTTTATGCTAACTAAACAACTTTATTCGATACATTTACCGAACAAAACTACAAAATCGAATTTTAACCATTACTGTCTGGCTTCAACAAAATTTTAGTTTACAGAACAAAACACTTTTTCTAGTTTATTTTAATTAGTTTATTTTAAATGACTAATCCATTGTAAATTTACTTTAGTTTCTCTCCGCTGCTTAATTGTTTGACAAAATACGCAGAGCATAGCTATTATTATTATTATTATTATTATTATTATTATTATTATTATTATACTGCAAAAGATACTTCCACATTTTTTACTTTTTTTCAGACAGATTTTTATCGCATATGAAAGCGAGAGATAATTAATTAAATGATCCTACTGTGTGACCCTCTTCTTTCCTCTCCCTTGATGAATTTTTCACTTTCTCATCGTCGCACTTTGTGCATCAAATTATTAATTCGAATATATTTACATACCACCATACGCTACCTCATTTAATCCATGTTCGGTTACTTCCACGCGTAAGAGAACGCTTACGTAAATTACGTTTACGATTGGGCGATCGCGTGATTTTTATCGATTCCAACGGCTAAGCGAGTAAGTTGCATTCAGTTGTTGTTGTCGGTGAAAGTACGCGTTAGGCGGCCTCGTCGAGAGAGGCTTTTCGAGTCTCGGAAACACATGAATGAACGCGCATACGCGTCGCGCGCCATGTACCGTTGCTCGACTGAAAACCGAGAAGGTGGTGCCTGTCTCAAGGATCCCGGAAGATAATCGGCGAGAACCGTTTTTCACGGGAAGAACCGCACGATGCCACGTCGACTCGCGACGAAAACGAAGCGAGAAAAACGAGGCGTTCTTTGAAACCCCCCCCCCTCAAATAAAAATTTATCGCGATAATAATACTGAAAGTAGAGAATCGCTCGATAAGGCGTTTCGCTGGTCTAGCTAGAATTCTAAATGTTAAAACGTATCGCTATTTTTTTTATATCTGTTAGAAAATTGTCTGTTGTACGTAGAATTTATAGTAGCCATATCTAATGATATACGCAAGAAAATTTAGGTCTCGTAACCAAGTCACACAGTCACTCACTTTTGTAAGAAGTGTGACTGGTTATTATCTGATTGATTGGACGCTAATCAAGAGAGATTTTTTTTGCTAAATTTGACGTATTGTCTGGATATACATTCTATTATCTATATTGATTAGATACGAAATACACGCGATATCGCAATGTTTGCTAGTCCATTTTATCTAATTTTTCTTATCTAAATAATTTTTGCTATGATTGCAAGATCCATTTTTTCAATTTTTTATCTCTCGGTTGATTTCATCGAAATTTAACTCGTCGACTGTAAAGTTCAACGGCGACGTTTTCTTTCTGTCTTCGAGACAGCAGGCATCGAATTTGAAAGTTCACGCCGTTACACGATACGAGATTGATGACGAAAACCGATCTCGTTTCTCATCTCGCGGATGATTTATTTTTGTGGAACTTTCACTCGCGTGATTCACTTTCTTCTCGCGAGGACTCGCTTCGTTCTCGGATCCTCCGTCCGCAAAAGCAAATTGCACAGATTCGTCGCAGCGTTTTACGCCAGCGGTTAAACGCTGATCATCCGCCGCAATATGTGCTCGTGCCTAGAAGAACGAGCTCGCTCCGTTCTCGGAGCGGAGAGGCAAGGCCATTTTTGCTGAGGAAACGTATAATGAAACGCACAGTTTTTCCAGGCGCGTCCATCGTCAGGACGTGCCTGCACGCGATAATAATTGCGACTGTAATATATCCGCAATGCCATTACCGATGGTCGCATTAGCATGCACGGCGGGATAGACTCGCCTTGAGATCTCGCGACGTAGTTTGCGAGCACGGAGCGAAGCACGTGCGATATTCGCGATGCGTTCTTTCCCGTCTTAGTTCTGATCCGCAGACTAAAACTTTCTGGCAACGTTTGGAAACGTTTGGAAACGTTTGGCTTTTTATATAAATTTAACTTACACATATGATTGCGCACCGTTTACAGCGCTGATTCTCATTAGCCTTACTTATTGTTACTATATGGAGAATTCTTTTTTTTTTCTTTTCTTTGTTCTCTCTTTTTTATCAAAAATTTTCTATCTCGCTTTTGTCAGACTTCAAATATACACGGGAAAAATTGCTATGAGTGTTACAACACATTTTCCATGATTGAAAAAGAGATGTGTGGATTCAAGTTATATTAATATTATATTGAGTATAGCTTAAGGTATATATACTCTTATAGTTAAGGTATACTCATTTATACGATTCTGACAATTATAGTTCTTATGATAACTAATATTCAGTTAAAATACTCTTATACAATTGCTTTAATCGAAAAAATTATTGCTTTTTTTCTACTATTGTTTGCAGAATAAATAGTATGATTGAGAGATCTATAGGATATATTCGTACAGCACTGAGTGTTCAATTCCATTACAGCCACACGAGTACAGATTATCACTAACCTTGCAAACAATTTTCATATAATTTTCTATATATAAAATAAAGTGTGTATTATATTGTGATATTTATTGTGCATATTATATCGTTGATACGATGAATAATTATGGATACATTTTTCAAGATAGTTTTATCTTCAAAGAATTTGAAGATTTTGTTTCTTATTTACAAAAGTAACATTTAAAATAACAATTTTTAAGTTACTATAATTACAGGAGCTAGAAGTAATCATTACGGTTGTATAACAATTATATATATGTCACTTCTAGAATACTATAATTTCTGTAACTTTTTTGTATGGATAGGTGAAAAATAACATTATTATCGTGACAATCCTAATTTTTTTCCGTGTATATTTATTTATGATAAATATAATGAACATATACTGATTTATAAAAAATATATCAAGAGTGTTTCGGATTCGTCGCCTTTGCTTTTGGTTATTTTACAAAAGAAGAGAGAATGTGGGATTATTCATTAAAAAACACGATACCGTAGAAGGGTAGTGATTAACATTCACAGGTAGAGAATTCTGGTTAAATTTACTTTTAGGAGTTGTCTATCGAGGGAACAATCATATTTTATTTCATAAAAATACACAGAGAGAATAATTTTGCTGATAAATCTAAAAATTTGATCAGATGCAAATCTGAAAATAATTTGGTTGAACCATAAAAATTATTATGTAGGATACTAAATATGATAATAATATTAAAAATTTTTTATCTTATAGTAACTAATTTAAACATTTTACATAATAATTTTAAAAGCCTAATAAGTTTTCAGGTCTGGCCAAATTTTTAAATTTGCAAAACTATTCTTTCCGCTTAACTGAATCGATACTGTTAAAAAAAAGAAGACTGAAAAGCGAAAAGAATGATCTTCCTTGACTTATACACTTGTATCATAAATATATTTCATACGTATTACATATATATTTTTTGCAAATTTTTAAGGACATAACATTTTGGATAAAAGTCAAAAAAATAAGAAGGAAGATAACCCAATGAAAAAGAATATATTACTTCGACACATGCCTTTGATTTACACAGACTGGCGAATGCGAATGGTCGTGCCAGAAATCTGATTTATTTCGGCGTATAAGGAAAAATTTATATGATTCTCCGCTTCAAAGCCATAAAATATTGGTCGGCAGAGATCGGAAGTCTTCCAGTAAAAACATCGGGAATAAAGGGAGGCGGTTTGTGCTTAGTACCGTCGACGCGAAGGCAAGTTTTTGCGGGTGCTGCGTCGCGGGAGAAACGGAGAAAAGAAGAGCCTCTCTCGTCGTTCGGGCTCGATCCCGCGCAGCGCAACGCGGTGCGCCGCGGTGACCCACTGACCTGGAACCCAGCATTTCGCGCTATCGGTTGATCCAATTTTCCAATTGTGTCGTTGACTCGTTTCCGTGTGTCAGGACGTGCCGGAGGGACGCGCCATTCGTCCCTGGTAGTCATCGATTTCCAGGAACGGAGCTGCGCCCCGGCGCGTGGCTCGCCGCAGCTAAAATCGCGCGTTCTCGATTCTCCCGGCTCTCTCTCTCTCTCTCTCTCTCTCTCTCTCTCCTCTCCTCTCTTCCCTTCCCCCTCCTCTCTCTCTCTTTCTGACAGAGATTCGCGGCTTGACGCGGTTTGGAAGCGAGTCTCGAGCATACCATGCTCGTCACGACGAGGTTTGCGAGGTCGCGGAAATTACGCGGGAATACGCATCCTCCTGCTGGACCAGCAGCAGCGGCGGCAGCAGCAGCAGCAGCAGCAGCAGCAGCAGCAGCAGCAGTCCGCAGTCGATATCGCTGCTGCGCCGAGGAAACACTAGGCACGCGCGACGGGGGGACGAACATAGGCTCTCGAAGTGCGAAGAGTAACGAGAATCGTGCTCTGGATATTCGATATCGGATCGTCTGATCGAGCCTCTCCCGCGGTTCCCGCGTTACGGATCTCCGTTCTCCATTCCGTGTACAACAGAAACTCGAAGTAGAGCTCATAAGTGGCTCTCTCGATGACCCTAGTCGCACTTATCGCACGCGAAATGACATTTACCCGTTCCGTTTGTTTATTCAACGTGAAATTCAACGCGGGAGTAGGTCTGCAGTGATATAAAGGAAGGAGGGGCGATATTACAGAAGTGTTGAAACGTGGTAAGATAAATGCGAAGAAGAGGGAAGGAAGGAGGGGATAATAGTAGTGATGAAAAAGGCTGAATTATAGAGGGAATAATGGCAATACAATGATAGAAGTTATGTTAATAATGCGAAATTATATGGTGATTATATTTGTGGAATTATAATTAGACTCCGAAGTTGATTTTTAAGAAAAAAAATCTACTCGTAGTACGACAAAGAAGAAACAGAAAATAGAAAAAAGGCGAACACTACGATAATAGAATCAAGATTATCATTTGTTGTCTAGTTTCCGACATTAAATAATTAATACAGATACAATGGGTGATATTTATATTGCAATTACACGATCTTTGTAAGGTGGAAAGAATCTCGAAAGCTCGGAAACCACTTTGACTCGCAAAGTCACACTCCGTAAAACAGTCAAGGACACGATTTCCGTGTTACCCGAATTATTTCAATTCGTACGTCAACGTCCACGAAGAAAATAATATCTTTAAGGCTGATTGGCAACAAGCTCCCTGCTCTAATTTGGACAATTCACCTCGCTTTGTTTTCCGCCTACGCTAGCGACGACACATTCACGTTTGCACGCTCGCCTACATTAATTAATTGATCGTCAGATATTTATCTGTCGCAAAATCAGCTTCGTATCGAGGCATACTCTGAGCACGAACAATGATGAATAGTTCTAAATGCGTTTATTTTACAGATTATCATTAATGATGTTGTTTAGTGGCGCGTGAATATTTTGCCTCTTTATTTCTATCTTTTATTTTTATAATTCCTTGCTCTTCTCTTTTCGTTTTATTAAATATCGACGGATAAACATCTTTTATTCTTAACTATACAAATTTTAATTAAATTGCGTGTGTGTGTGTGTGTGTGTGTGTGGGGGGGAGAGGGGGGGACACTCTAAACTTAGCGAGCCTCCTTTTATTTACAAGTGTCCTTGAATTTATTTATATTAAATTTCCTTTTAGTTAAAATGCTAAAAAAGAAAAAGAATTATTATAATTATTACAATTATTAATTATATGAATCGAAAAATCATTTGAAATTTCGTTACGCCTCTTCCTTACATTTTTGCAATTCGTAAAAGAAAGATGGCTCCGACGTATCTTATACGTATAACTAACGATGATATTAATTTGTTGCAGGTGAAATAAGAAATCATCGAAAATGAGTTGCATATCGCAGTGCGCAAAGTACTTTCTCTGCTTTTTCAACTTTATTTTCTTTGTAAGTATACAATTATTTAATAATAATAATAATAATAATAATAATAATAATAATAATAATAATATTAATAATTAAATAATGCATTCCTTTTATTTGCGAGACGCTACGCTCGAGGTAAAAATTCGTCAATATTACAGTCAATATTACAGTTCATCATCATAATCCTGTGAATGCTATTCATTCCTTGTGATATCCTCATCTTGGAATGTTGAAATATTTCTAATTCATCTTATACGAGTCAATACGGTAAAGTTAATCCGTTGAAGAAATATACCAACTTTCTCGGCGACATATAATTGAATGTACGAAATCTTTTCCAATGGAATAATCGCTTGATTCACATGCCGTTAAGACTCCTGATTTCTCAGAAATATATTACGGTATTAGGAACATTGAAATAGAATTAATCGTTTCGCAAAATGTCGCTCGTGCTCGATAATACAACTTGATAAAATGTGTCGAAAGTGCTTTTAGTGCTATTCTTTATCGGTGAACGATAGCGAAGGTGTAACGTAATGTTCAATTTGCATGTCATTTATTTCTAACCGAAGCAGATGATGCCAGTCTTGTGACAGCTGATCAAGATTTACGCAGTATATCCGTGAATTGGAAAGGAACTTCTCATAAATCTAGTCTATCGAGCGCGAATATGATGAGCACGCGAGAAAACTGACCCATTTCAACGTACGACAATGGACGAAACGAAAATTCGCATTGCTTTTTGATATTAATTTCGACAACTGAGAATCGACAAAATATAGATTTTAAATTACTATGAGCAATCGCAGGATAACGGCGAAATAGTTGTCTTAGCGCGTGATTGCAAAGTGAAACTTTGCAAAAATCGCTATCTGCCTCGCCACCGAGGCGGACTTAAACTTCTGCCTTCTTTGGCCAGCCTTGATGAAATCTACGAAGCAGAACGGAAACCTACACACTAAAGTCCGTGTTTTACAGATCGCCGGAGGAGCGGCACTGACCGTCGGTATCTGGCTATTCGCCGACAGAAGCTCGTTCACCAATCTCATCGGGAAACTCGATCAATCCGACTTTTTGGTAAGACATAAACAGATTAACCCTTATTAAAGCTTCTTTGTAGGAGAAGAAGGACAAGTTGTACGTTCCAACGTTTCATCTACCTTGTTTTCGAGGAAGTTGTTAATTGACATCGTACGTAGCCACTTGCTCGTGCGATTTTGTGTGTGAGTGACGAATTGGCCAAGTATCAAATATACAATGAGACAAACAATGAGCACTCTGATATTAGGCAGAATTTAAAGAACACGTGTACTTACTAAATGGAACGAAATTTGATAATTTACTGGGATTTTAATGGGATTTTAATACCGATTTTTTTTAAATTTTACGGAGGACAGAGCGATACAGAGCGACGTCAAGGTTTTTCCGACACTTAAAAGTCAAAGTCGGATATTTTTGGCGAAAATACTACAAACGAGTCCCGCTGTGTTTAAATTTCTATCGCTGTCTATATTTATGGCTGTCTATTTTCATTGTCTCTGTTAAGCGAACAATATGCGCGATAATTTCTTGACACGGATTCTGACAAATTTTAAATCAAAAAAGTATCTTGCTTAGCATTTAGAAAATTGAAAGCTCTATCGACAACTTTACTATATACTTTGTCGATTTTTATTACCATCGAGATCGAAAGAATTTCGGGCAGATGTTCGATTTACATCGCATTAAAGAAAAACGACTTGTGCATGTCCTTATAAAATTGGCTATTTATACGGCTTCAAGTTTCTCTTGCGCAATCGTGCTAATTACGTCGTAAGTTGTTCATTACGCAATTAGCGATAGGTGCAACAAGGAAGTTTGACTTATACCAAACTGGATTCGACGTTACCGATCTCTCATCCGTGATTATCATATTGATCGAAGTATCATCTTTTTTATTTACACATTTAAATTGTACTTCCGCCTGTACAACGCGCATACATAAGAAGATTACTCTTCGTATCTTATTTTGCTGACGAATCTTTTCGTTAGCATTGGAAAACTATTTAACGTGGCATGCATTAACAAGCTTTGCGTTGTACAACCACGTATGAAATGCAGATATATAACGAGAAATACATGGTACATATTGTCATATTATTGTCCTTAACACATCGATGTCATTGTCGTATTAACATGATTTTTCTATACGTCGTCAGATCGATAATGCAAAGCACGCTGCTTTTCTTATAAATTTTCTCATTTCTCCATTTTCTCACAAAAATAAATCTACGTATAAATTTATTGAAAAATTATATTTAACGAATAAAGGTTTAATATTTTTAAGCATTCGACAATCAAGCTTCGAAATCTAAATAAAATATGAGAAATATTAGCCAAAAAATAAACATCAATTTTTTTAGAAAATGCTTATTTGTTGTAAGTGATATAGTTACAGATATTGTTTATTTTAATTATTGTTTTATGTTTGTTTAGTTAAATGGAATAATGTAAAGCACGCTATTTTTCTTATAAATTTTTTCATTTTTCCATTTTCTAGCAAAGATTTCTTTATATAAAAAAAGAACAGAAATTAAATTTAAAAAATTTGAACAATTTTTATTTCATATATAGAAATTTGCAATCAAGATCCTGCTTGCCGAGGATTGGCTATGACTCTATTTATTTATTAAATTTAAAGAATAAATGTTTAATATTTTCAAGCCTTCAACAATCAAATTTCAATCACTTTGAAATTTAAACAAAATATGAGGATTAAATCTAAAGATAAACAATTCTTTCAGAAAATGCTTATAAAATATTTAATTGCAAATGATATTTTACAGATCTATTTTAGTTACTGTTTCATGAGTTTAATTAAATAAAATAATATAAGTGACCTATTTATTCTAAATACTCGAGCCAGTTTTTGAAATGTTTTACTGCTTTAAAGGTCTAGCCGCTTATCTTATTACATGATATTTATGTATGCAATTGTTTTAATTTTAATTAAAGAATACTAATTTTGATTTAGATCAAAATTTTTTAAGAGCGTATGAGAACTTGTAATTCGATTTTGCAATTCAAATAAAGAGATATTATGAAATTATAATATATTATTATGAAAATCAACAAATTAAAAATTTATGCGCGTCTTATTTAATCTTTAAATTAAATGTAATCGTGCTATTACTTCTATTTTTTAACAATACATAAACATTTAACATAATAGAACCAAGTTCTTCTTGTTAAGAAGTAGTATTTTGTTTTATCTTGAAAAAATTCAAAAGATTTGCGTATATAGAGCACACAAGCTGAATACATGTACTAGACCTTTCTTAATTACGAGCCGTTTAATAGTACTGGATAATCCACGTTTAACGAGATGCTTGACTCTATAAACTGTAAGGGGGGGGAGGGGCACAAAAAGAGCGGCTTACCTTAAAGGCCGCGATTAACGGAGAACAATGGAGAATGGAAGTTACTACTTCCTTCGAATAATTGACTACTGACAAAACCACTTTCCTACTCCCCGCGCAGCCTTTGCGTGCCTTTTATTTTGCCTTTGTCGATGTGTCATCACATGTTTATTTACATATATAAGTGTATAGATATTTTTTTCCCCTCTCTCTTGAGGAAGAAACCGAGAATCGATGACGGGATGATCGCACGTAGGGTAGTGCGACGCGGGTACAACCTGGCAGCGTCACAGGCAGGGAGAACGAGAAACGGTAATTATCGGTACTTGGTCGCTGATGAGATGATTGGCTGTCACATTAGCGCAACGCGTGGGAGGATCTGGGCGCTCCATCACGGATTCGTGGTAGATACTCTCGTATAGATACAAATGCCGCGGAGGCCGAAGCTCTTTGGACGATTTTATCATCTCGCTCGCTCCTCTCGTTTCGCGGATATCGAGCCTCGGACATCGTTGCGAAATCATCTGAAATCTCTTGATATTTACATCGCGCGATATTTGCTCCTCGGTGGCAGAGCTAGATAGCGGAACGCCGCGGAAAAAGTAAAAGTGCCGCTTTCGTTTTGCGAGTTTCGCACACAGCCGGCGAAAGGGTAACGCGTTTCCCTGTGATAAAGCAACATTATAATTAGACCAGTCATTCATAAAAAGGATACGACGTGTCGTAAGATTGGAGAGCCGTTATAAAATGAGACACTTTGAGCGTAAGCGCGAGGTTATTAAAAATTAATGTTTATCGTTATAAAAAAGTAATATAAATCTTACGTGAACTACAATGGTCTTTTTAATCGTCGCTATATAGAGACTTATGTGTTACTTATATATATCTCGCATATTAGAGATAGATATAATTAGATTAGATATTCCTAAAAAGATAAGATGTCTCGAGATAAGAGATTTATCATTATGAATTAAAATAAAAATTAATCTTTAATGTTACACAAAAAGTATAAATATAAATCATACGTGAGATACAATGACCTCTTTAATCTCTACTATTAAACATTTATAATTAAATTAGTTATTTATAAAAAAATGTGAGATGTAATAAGAGATTAAAATGAGACACTTTGTGTGAATTAAGGTTAATCTTGAACAAAAAATAAATATGAATCACATATGAATAATGATTCTTTTAACTACCACGTATGAATATTGTTATGTTAATAACAACGTCACGCGGTAGATTAAATCGTTTCCAGTTCCTAGAAGCAATTTTGCGAATAAAATATTGACGGCGGAACGACAAAAAAAAAACATACGTGGAATTACTTATGAAGTAATAAGGAAATAAAAATAAACTTCTAGTTATATTGGTTCATTCTCAACTGGATGTATGAACGAATCAATGTTGCGTTTATTAGCAAAGGCTCGGGGACGCTTAGAAAGTCGCTTCTAATCACTCTAATCGTATATAACTTGTAGCTGTAACTTGTATGGCGGCGATTCTTAGAAACTCTACGCGAATAAGATTCTGTTTGCGAATTACGTGGGTTAGTTTAAGATATTATGCCCAACCGTTGGTTCGGGGGTTGCTGCCATCGGATAGGACTTTTTTAAGCGAATTTAAAGTTAAAATCTTGACAAAGGAGAGAGACTCAATCAAAAAATTCCGGCAGGAAGCCTGCGCTCGATGGCAAACAAGCGTGTAGATACGAATGAAAGTTGGGACACAGATAGTCGATTAAACGCTTCATCTCGGGATACCCTTATCAAGTGACTTATTGCTGGCGAGAGATAGTACTGTCGAGTACATTACCTCGACAACGATTTGCGTTTTCCCTCCGCGTCTGTCGCCGTCAGCCTGGCTACGATTCCCCTGATTTATCCCGTTAATTGCCGTCTTGCTCGAGCGAAATCGACGGAGACCCGACTCGATGTAAATAGCGGTACGTCCCATTCTTGGACAATAATCAGTGTATAGATATTAATCAAGAACATTGACGTAATACGTCGCGCATGGGAAGAGGGACAATGAAGGAAAGAGGAGAGAGAGACAAGAGATTTAAAATCAGAAAAGAAAATCTTCCGTGTGAGAAAAAAATTCAGGGGACCTGGCTTTCGCTTAGCTATCCGTCCTACTTCCACCCGTCGGGTACGCTCGATGCATCCACGAGCACGAGGGAAACAGGTATTTAGGACGTACGCCGTAAGCTCCAGAAAATGCATTAACTCGCTGACGCACGCGCAACACACGTTCATGTACTGTAAATGCGCTAAATTGGTCATTTCGGAGCAACAGCTCTCGTGCTCGACGATAGGCTACGATACTCGTGTATGAGTGCGTGCGTGCGTGCGTGCGTGCGTGCGCGCGTGCGTGCA